TATTTTTGGATTATTTGTTTGCTTTCTCAATGGTACTCTTTGGGGAGAGTGGCTCCAGCCAGTGATTTGGCTTATATTTAGAAAGCAATACGTAAGATACCCTTGACCTTCAAACTTTGACATTTATCCAGCGTTATCAAGTAGAGTAACAGCCTCTACTAAACTTTCATTTAATTATCATGGTTTACATAAGCCAGGCTGTCCTAATGCTTTGGTTTTATTTAGGAGATAGGCTTCCTCTTTCAGACTGCTTTGTTAAGTGTATTCTGAATGGCCCAAATCCAATGACATTAAGTCAATTTTGGTATATAGAATTTCTTTCTTTTTTAAAAAAAACAAAAGCAAAAATTTGAACTAGAATTTTATCATTGCAATAGTTTGGATACTGACATAAACCTTAGGGAGTAATTTGCTGTTATAGAGAAGAGAATACAAGTTCTCTCCAACTCATTTATGAAAAAAGACAGGGCTCTTTGTTTTCTTACTGCTTTTGTAAGTCCCCAGTCAAATTTTCTTAGTAATTTAACCAGAAATCTTAATATATGCAATCTGTCCCTGAGTGTCTAAACATGCAAACATGTCTATACAATGTAAGTTTTTTTGTTATTTTTAGTTTTGTTTTGGGACTTATCACGAAGTATAGTCATCTTTCCCCATGTTTTTCTAAAATAATAATAATGTTTTGTTAATTCTTTATATACTTACTCATGGACCTATTCTAAGCTACCTACCTCTCTGGGAAAAAGTTGAGACAGTCTGCTATCCTTAAGATGTATAGCCTCGAAAACTCCACGGAGTGTTGCAATGAATCAGAATCAACTTAATGAGGTTTTGTCTTTATTGTAGGATACAACTTGGTATGTTTTTACCGAATATCACCAGAAAAGAGAAGGTATCAATTGAAAAAGGCCCAAAGATCACTGGCGTGATTTATATTCCTGGATACTTTTCTAAATTTAACTTTATTTTATAAGAATGTCTAAAGTTTAGAAGCAGCAAATATATTTCTTATCTTGGAAAAACACTCTGGGAAACCAGGGATTAAACAAAATGTGTCTGAGAATTCTGGAGAAATGATACATACGTAAGGGATTTCTGAATTCACTGCAAAAATAATTTTTAAAAATAATTCTGATGTAAGAAAAAAACCCTGACAAAGTTTCTGAAATTCTCACTGTTGACACTCACAAAATTTGTTTGACTCCTCATTTATGCTTCAGCTCCCCTGACATGCAAAGCTGATTATCTCTACTGTATTTTTCAAGTCAGGCTAAACCGACTTACCATTTTACAAATAAAAGTCCCTTATACATTGATTATAAGTTTTTGGCTAATTGAAGAGTCTTTAAAAGAAATTCTCCCATGTGTTTCATGTTGCTGACTTCATTAATTTAATCTCATTCTACTACATTCAACAAATAGTTGAATTCTTACATATATATGACCTGCATACAGCTCTCTTCATTTGACGTATAGGTTGAATTAGAGACCTGTTTTTGAAGCAATCCACTTTCTGTAATAAGTTACTTTTGTGTAGACGCCAGGTTTATTCTTTTGACCACAGTTATCTCCCCAGCTCACAATTCCAATGAGATACCATGTGTCTTTGTGATCCTTTGCAGCTAAAGGTCCTCCAGAATCACCCTGATAATTGAAAATAAAGTTATATAATTGTAAAGATTTTATTTGTGATATTCTACTTAGTCACATATTTAATTACTAGACAGTATATGCACATATTCTTATTCTTAGAATAATTAATTAAAACAGATTTCAAAAGAAACAGAGAAGTTGATCTTGTAACCTTACTACACATTTTTATTTTATTTCATATTTTTTGTTACATTAGTAATTGTTCTTACACTAATTTTATTTTGTAAATGATATTAATTGATGCTTTATTACCTATCCTAGATAGTATTAGACTTCCTAGAATTAATAGCAAACACTTAGCTCTTCCTGCTGCCCAGATTAATTTTCTGTGCATCTATGACAAATGCTGAATGCTCCAAGAGCTCTACCAATTTCCACTAATGCTCAAGGTTATCAAATAACTTGTCAGTTCCTTGACACATCAGAAGACCTTCCCTATCTCATCTTCCCAAACCTTTTCTTGGTACACATGAACACACATAAACATACAGTATACACATTCCTTTTGTTTATTCTAGTTTAACTTGAACTGATAACTTTCTAACGCTGGTGCAAAGCTTAGATAATTACTAGTTGTAATTATGCAAAGTATAATTATTAGATGTTTCTTCACTATACTTTTTGCTTGATTTTTGGTCTCATGTCTTCTTCATTGATTTAATCACTTATTTTACTAAGAATACTCTTTCTGATAGTTTCCTAAGAAAGTATTTATAGGATGTACAGTTTTTTAGTCATAGTAAACCATTATTTTACTCAGATTTTTTTACATTTTATTGCTCTCTTTTCTCAACTTTCTCTTTTTTGCCCTATTTAGCTAATACTTTAAATATTTTAAGTGAAATTTATAAAAGCATATCTTGTAGATAATGCTAACCTGTTTTTCAAAGTGATTGTTTGAATTTTGTCTTTTTATGGTGATGTTAGAGGGACTTTAAAAAGAAATAAAGATAGAAATTAATGTTAAATTTTCCATGTTCATCAATATATTCCAACCTATGATTTCCCCACTTTACTTCTATTTTATATTGGTTTTCACACGCATTTGTTTACATTGTCTATCTTTCATGTACATTGTGTTTCACACATTTCTACGTTTGCATTGTACTTCAAGTGATCACTCATGTAACAACATATTATTTTGTAGATGAGGCTATGAGAAAAAAAATCAGTTTAAAATCATAGCCAAGGAACAGGTAGGATGGAGAAGAGAAGAAGTCTAGCTAACCCCGTGTGTAATGTGCTAATGAGAATACATTAAAATCCATCAGATAGTCATACAAAGTCAAATACAATTTAATATTTCTTTGTCCATTCAGAAGTCATAGCAACATTTGCTCTCTTTGGGGATTTTCATCATGAACACCTGAGATTATTGCACTCCTTAGGAACATTGTTTAACGCTTCCATAGATTGAGCCATGCTCTGGAAATTAATTTTTCCCTAAGAATTCTCTAATAGTAGAAGGACTTATTTATATTCATATTATTTATATGCCAGTAATAAAGGAATATCAACTTCTGCTATCTTCAGGAGTACTGTTTAATATATTGTTTTAGTAACTTATTAGATAAATTTTTGAAAATCCAGAATGTTATTTTCTTCATTTAGAAAATAGAAGGTTTCTAAACTCCTCAAAATACAAACTAATCATATTATAACAGAATTATTGCATATAGTCTATGCAGCATCTATGAATGATCAAAATAATTTCCAGGGAAAAGTCTGAATTGATTTTATTATACTTCTTGTTTGAGGTCTGGTGGCTCAGTGGTAGGCAAGTGGTATTTCACTCAGCATAATATCCTCCAGGGTCACCCATTTTTATAATATTTTATGAGTTCTTTGTTTTTCGGTGCTATGTAGTATTCCATTGTGTGAATATACCATAGCTTCTCTATGCATTCACTTGTTGATGGGCACTTGGGTTGTTTCTATCTCTTTGCTATGAGAACAACCCAGCAATAAACATTGGTGTGCATGGATCTGTTTGGGTGGCAGTTCTGGTTTTTTCAGGGTATATTCCCAGTATTATGCATGACAACAGTACAGAATAAGAAGAAACTGCAACAATAAAAGAGGAAAACAAACTGAGAAGGGAGGAAAATGTGCAGCAATGAATGAACGGAAATCCAAGTTTTCTGTAAACTTTCATTAAAATAGCTAAAAAAAGGAAAGAAAACCGTCTTCTAAGTAAGTAAATTGATGTTTATCAAAGTTCATAGTTTCTGGAGGCATGTTGTTTAGGAAGTGGATGCAACTCCCGCTTTCAAATAAATGAAGAAAAAAATACCCAGAACACATCTAAAACAAGTATGAAAGGGGAGGGGTGGGTAAAGGAAATGGGAAAGATAAAGTATGAAAAGCAATGTATACCACTTTGAAAGTAAACCAGTCTAAAATAAAAATTTTACTTAAAACAAAAGGCATTTGGTTCAAATCCACCAGTTGCTCTGTGATAGAAAAATGGGTAAATATCCTTGTACATGTTTTACTGCCTCGGAAAAGCCTCTGGAGAGTCAGCTTATGAGTCCATTCTCAGTGGTACAAACATCAACAATACTTCATGTTTAAATTGGAGTACTTTAAAAAAAAAGTTGCCAAAAATCAAGATTCATTTACTGTTTCCTGAGATGATTAAAAATACAATCCAATTATTGGGGACAACCTTTCCCCAAACTGAATTAGAAACATGAGTGGAATCACAAATCTGGATCAAGCTTTTCACTTCTGGGTTTTATAATAATTCTGAACCCTTTTCACTTGTGTTTGGGTCTAATTTTACCAGATCTGTGGTGGAAAAAAATTAAGTGCTTTCTTCTCTTAAAATGAAATGCTTCTCAAAGTACACTGTAGACCTACTCGTTATCATTTATTGAGTTCTAGGTAAGTCTTCAGTACATTTGCAAGTCAGGGTTATATGGTTTTCTACTGCCCCCAGGTGGCTTGCTTGCACTTGTTATTTTAGGCATTGGTTCTTGTTTTGGTCTCTTGTGCCTGAGTAACTTCCTGGGTAACTTCACTTGTTTTTCTTTGAGTTGATCATAAACTTATTACTCAGTTACAGAGTCATGGGAGAGGAATCTTACCCCAGCTTCCAACTCATTGTGAAGCTTCTCTATGATAATTCCTTCCTGAGTCTTCTCCCTAATTGCTGTTGCTGCGATTTCTGTTGACACATTGTCTGCCATGATCTTGCGGAAGTTCCTAAATTTTACCTGCCTCTTTCACGTTCCTGTCAACCAAAGCTACATGTGTACTAGATCCTCTTGGTTTTAAGAAACCTATTGTGCTTCAAAAATCTATGCTTTTATTCTGATAATGGCTGTTCACGTTGCATAATTTATGGGAGTCTGACCAGCCTGTCTGCTGACTGTGGTATTTCACTATTAGAGTCACCTCCTTTGGAGTTTTCAAAAATCTCATGTGAAAAAGTAAATGACACCAGGAAGGAATAAACTTTATACTTTTGCAAGGAACTACTGATAGGAACACGGAGAAGACGCTAAGGTATTCACAGCATTAACCAGTCGTCTTGCATCTTGTGTGTTTTACACTTGAGACACAACAGATTTCTTGGAGTTCCCTTGACTGTGAACTGTAAATTCATAGCTTTAGATATGCTATTTCTCCTTTCTAAAAATTTTTTTTGTGATTTTATAAAAAGATGAATGCTTCTATCCATGAAGGTCTCATTTAAATATTATCTCTGTGATACTTGTTCCAAACTTGTTCCCTTCATTGGAAGAGATCTAAGTGCTTCCTTGCTAAATATAAGTCCTTGAAAAAAGAGACTTATCCAATTAAATTTGGGGTTTACAGTTTTTAAGATAATTCAGTCCTGTTGGTTATTTTGTTTGATAACATTGCTTATTTAATTTTACGTAATAAAATATTGAATAATATGTTTGTGTTATTAAATTTACTTTAGAATGTTTTTATATTGATGTTCTATCTATAATTATACTAATATAAATAACATGAAATATCTCCTAAACAAGATAAGTTTTTAATACTTAGTAATATTAAAATAGTATCGTTCAAACCTACCCTGCAGGCATCATAAATTCCTTCCAAATATCCAGCACAAAACATTCCGAATTTTATATCATTGCCATACACATGTCGTTGCTTGCATACATCATCACTTATGATTTTCAATCTGGCTTCTCGAAGTTCATTTTGAGATTCCCCTTAAAGGAAAAGAAAATAATTCTACCTTTACAATCAGCATCTTTTCCATACTGAACATTTTTATAAAACATTTGGCTAAAATAAGCAGTTTCTAGAGAAGAAAAAGGAGCTATAGTGGCTTAGTTGTAAAGGACTGCACTTCCAAGTCAAAGGAATGTGGTTCAAATCTAACAGCTGTTCTGGGGAAGAATAATGGCAGTCTTCTCCTGTGCAATTTACTGCCTGTGAAAATACACTGGAGGGTCAACTATGAATTGGTTCAACTCTGCGATGTTGCTACATGTTGTCTATTTATTTTGTACATGAGTACAACTAATATGAACCTATGAACAACTGATCTAAACGCTGCCCTATTCTGTGCCATCCTCATCATCTCTGATACACTTGAGCACATTGCTGTAGTCACTGTATCACTCCATCTCTTTGGTATCTTCCTCTCCTCCACTGACCCTCCATCTTTCCAAGCACAATTTCCCTTTCCAAGGGATATCCTTGCCTACATACCTGTCCAAAACACCAGAGATGAAGCATCACCATGTTTGCCTCCAAGGAGCACCCTGGCTGCACTTTCAATAAGACTTATCTGTTTATTGTTTTGGCAGTCCATGAGATATCTAGTACTCTTTTCTAGCACCACAACACAAAGGCATCAATTCTTCTTCTGTCATTCTTATTCTTACTTACTCGGATGTATAGCAGGTGATTGAGAAGACCAAGCCTGAATGAAGCACACTGTAGTCTTCAAAATGACAGTATAGCTCTTAAATATCTTGAAGAGGTCCCTGACAGTGAACTTGCCCAATGCAATGAACCTCCTGATTTCCTAATTGTTGGTACCAATGGTGTTAATTTTTTATTTAAGCAAGATTAAATCAACAATTTCTGTGTACGGTGTGAAATGTGGATCTTGTTTCAGCTTTCTGCAGGAAGCAGTCCAGTTTTCCCACCACCATTCGTTAAAAAGCTGGTCATTTATCCATTTGATAGATCTAATTTCCTTGTTGAGTATCAGTTGATAGATAGGTATGGGTTCTTAATTCTGTTCCACTGGTCTACATGCCTGTCATTGTACATTGTAGAGGTACCATACTGTTTTGATTACTACCACCGTGTAGTAGGTTTTGAGATTAGGCAGTGCTATGCCTCCCACTTCATTTTTGTTTTTCAGAAGTGCTTTGCTTATTTGGGGTTTCTTTCATCTCCAAATAAACTTGACAATTTATTTTATCTCCTTGAAAAAAATGAATCTAATTTGTTGTCTATATTGAGATTGCATTGAACATGGAGATTGCTTTGATAGGATTGTCATTTCCATTATATTGAACAATCCTATACATGAATAGGGAACAATTTTACTTTCAGTAAGGTCTTTCATTATTTCTCACAGAAGTGTTCTGTAGTTTCCTTTGTAAATTCCAAAAAAGTCTTCCTTTTCTAATCTGTCACCACAGCTCTTTGCACATTTCATTAGAAGATTTTGTTTTATTAACTTGAGTTGCCTTTTGAAATTTTCTTTCCAGTTATTTTACTTCATCATCTCTTCCTTTTGTTTTGTTTGTCAAAGCTCAAATGCAATTTCG